TTGTTTACATCGAGTTTGAGAATGTTTTGCGGCATTTTCCGCGAAAGAAAGGGCCCTAGATTCAGACGCTTTTTTGTAGAACATCGTTTATGGAGCATTTTCATTTTTACACAAATTTAAAATTTAATTGGGAAAATTTTATATTTCATCTATGCCCTAACGTCGCCATATTTTTAAAAAATGTATTTATTTTCAAGGATCGGACACTTAAAAAAATAATATTGAAAGGACGAGGATTTCAAGGTGGTTCGGACGAGACAATGAGGAGAATGTGGTTCGGACTAGAGATTGATGTGGTTGGCCTTCCTCCCCTCGTGTGGGGGAGTGTGGGGTTAGAGGGTATGATAAGGAAATAGGGGGAAGGTGTAGTAGGAGTGGGGGGCAGGATCAGGGTATTAAGGGGGGGGAGGGTAAATAAATACCTCTCCATCTCTCCAATTTTTCATTCTCCAGTTATATTCCTTCAACATATCTCTAGCAATATTCCTGCCTTGTGTTTACACAATATTAATCTTTTATAATTTCATCCATTTTCTTTAAGGAATTTAAGGCCCTCCATGCAATGATGGCAATGCCTGATTCACAACGGTACCTTTTAAGGCTTTGTCTGATCTAGTATTAATTCAATATCCATATATCCATGTTTATATTTAGGAAATCTGATTATTTTCTATTATTTATGGGCTCTCCGCAAACGTCACTTTCGCATTTATACTTTAGAAAAACATATTGGAAATATTATAATTCCTAAGATAGCTTAAAAATAAACTACGCACATGCACAATTGCTGTGTCTCCTGTTCTTTGGACCATTTAGAACCATAATAACAATAGCAATAAAAATTGTTTTTATAGGTGGTAGGCGATAATACCAATACAATGAAGACGACTTTCGGTTTAAATTTTGATTTATATCATATTATATCCAGCTTTTTAACAGCATTACACCACAAATAAATGGATACAAAGAGAAACTGTTAATTTAAAACACTTCTCTTTAATTACATGTAAACTTGTTAACAATAAAACTTATATAAAAAAGTCGTCTTCCTTATATTGATATTATCGCTTACCACCATATTTCACAGAAAAGTAGGACTTTTGTTGTGATACCCGGTATTAAATATTCTGCAGTATATAATGCAGAACTATAAATTATTGACATCAAAGTAGCGATGAATTAATGATTAAGTATGATCCTTAAAATTCAGTAGATATATCAAATATGTTTATACTTTAATTAACCATTACATTGTGATCAAAAGGTTGCAATTTTTGTTTGAAATTTTGTCAATTACGTTGCAAAACATTAAGCTAAAGATAAGTTCTTTAGTTCTACATTTTACAGGTCTAAGGCTACGCAAAGTATAAGGCTGAGAGTGCCGTAAAATAAAAAGCAACATTTTATAGCAGATTTTAGACTTAATAATACGGTACTAGCTGAAGGGTCCGGCATTGCACTTGGGAAAAAAGTTTGAAGAAAAAAATTTTGAAAAAAAATCTATTTTTTTAGCCTAAGACACTTCCAGACTATCCATAAGTGTCCACAAAAAATTCAGCCCATTAACGGTCCAATCCAATCCCATGATCGGTCCAATCCAATCCCATGATCGGTCCAATCCAATCATGTAAGAAAATAAATAAAATTAAAATAAAAGAAGTATTAGAAAACACACTGAACCTGATGTATCAACTTTTACCAACTCCTCTGTATCCTGAAAACGAACAATATTTAAACTTTAAATTTATTTTTAAAATGTCGTCTTCTAATTTAAGATAAAGATCGTCTTCCAATTGTTATTAATTAAGGCATAAAGCGTTAAAGTAGGCACTATACAGCATACATACTGTTTTTACGAGGTACAGTTAGGTTCAAATATAAAGAGACATCGAAAGAATTTTTTTTGAAATTCAAGTGTTCTTTATCATTATTATACTTACTTCATCGTGAATTTCATAATGAACGTGCTATAAAGTTAAATTAGCTGTAAATTAGGATATTTCAAAAATATTTTTTTCAATTGAAATGAAAATAAAATTGAAAACAACTTTTTATTTTGACTTCTTTGTTTCAAAACATATTTGATCTAGAAACAGCCATTGAAATAAGACAAGTACACAAACGTTTCATAAAATTATCCAGAACACTACTATTTTGGCACAACGTGCTATAAAGTTTTTGGACAGAAATTTTCTCTATATCGAGAAGGATCAAACCTTTTAGATTTAATTTTGTTCCTAGTAAACCAAAATATCAGTTTTTAAAATATAGTTAATAAAATTCCTTAAATTATTTGGAATGCTCAAAATGTCTGAGTAAACTGTAAAAATTAACAAAAATACAGAATTATAAGGTTTGTCTTTTTAGAGCTACATACGATCCGATATGATGTGGGACAACCAGTTTTATAAAGATGAGCAATCAACTAAGTAGTTTAACTAACCTTAAACATCCTGGAGGGATGGGTAGAGTAACTTAAAGATTTTTTGTAAATTTTTTTATTGCATAGGGTTGGGTTCAGGGCGGAGAAAAGTCCGGTTTTCGGGGGAAAACAAAACAAATATTTATTTCATTTTTCTGAACCTTTTTTTGGCATTTTTTTCAACCCTCCCCAGCATCCAAACTATTAAAGTTATCGGTCTATTTTTTTCAATGAGCTGGCCTTGACAAATTGGGCTTTGCACATGCATTTCAACCCTATACCTATTCTCTAAGGCTGGATTAAATAAGTATGTTTGAAATATCAAAGATTTACGCCATCAGGATGCAAATATCAAAATATCATAAGGATTAGAAATTTTGAGTTTGTGGCAAATACACTATTCCTTTGGAATATGATAGTCCACAATATTAATTATGTATTTATTTATATGTTAGTTATTAATATTAGGCAAGGGCTACCACACTAATTAAAAACGTATTAATATTAGGCAAGGGCTACCACACTAATTAAAAACGTATTAATATTAGGCAAGGGCTACCACACTAATTAAAAACGTGTACTTTGGAAAGTTTTGCATCACACCTGGAGTGTAGGATCTTTAACAGGTCCAGGATCAGGTTGAGTCAGCTGGAGATGAACAACTACATCTTCTTCATCCTCATCGTTCTCCTCATCTGTCTCACCCTCCTCCTCCTCCTCCTCCTGCTCCTCTTCTATCTTCTTTCTCTTCCTTTCAGCTTCCTCCATTATAGCCTTTAACATGAATATCAAATGCATTAATCCTTATCAAACATGTAAAATACAGTGGTCGGCAATTATATCGATACAATGAAGACGACTTTTTATTTTAAATTTTTAGTAACTATAAGAGTATAGTATCTAGTAACTATTGGAGTATAGTATCTAGTAACTATTAGAGTATAGTATCTAGCACCTATTGGANCGCCAGATATTTTCTTAATCAATTAAAAATTGTTTTTACCATTCCATGCATGGATAATTTCAACCTCTAAACTGTAGTGAATATTAGGTGGAAAAATGAAGAAAAAAAATTATCAAAACGGAAAAAAAATTTTGATCTATCTATCAATAAAATGAAAATAAATAATATGAATAATAATTTATCGGTAAATAATCTAATTTTGTGGCATATTATCTAGATATTCATTTCCCTTTGCCTTATGATATACATTATACATATATGTATAATATCGTTCTATACAGTTGGGGTTTCAAGAGGTGAAAATTTATTTTCGAAGATTCTTTTGCGAAAATTCCAGATTAGATTGAAAATGGATACAAATTAGATACTAGATATCTATCTATCTATTTCAGTTTTTAACTTCACATTTTTTATTAAAAAAGAATTATACATAATGTTTCACGTCTATCATGACGATCCTTAGTAGTTACAATTCTTTGAACAACTAAAATTCCAAGATTTTTACATCACATATTGCTAGAGATGTCAACGATAGTGTAACATAACGTAAAATAACGATAGTGTAACATAACGTAAAATGTACGTTTTTGTACGGTATGTTACAGTAATGTGTAACGTTTGAATATATTATATATAACGTGAACATTAAATGCTAACGTTATAGGAGCTCATACCTAACGTTAACGTTAAACGTTAACATTAGAGGAATATACCCCCAACGTTAGCGTTTTGTGGAAATGTAACGTTATTTTTCTAATATCTACAATTATTTTTTACCATAACGTAAAGAAATGTTTTGTTTCCAAGGGGAGCTTGAAAGTCTAACGTTTGAAAAATGAATTGTGATTTGATGGAATATCGTAACGAAAGGATTTCCATTTCAAAGTTCAACTTATAAAAAGTGTAACGTTGTATAACTGAAAAATGCATTACTGTTTATGAAAACGTTTTGAAACGTTTTCCCTTATAGTATAATGAAAAATTCACCGATGCAGAAATGGGTTATTAATTTAATAATCAAGAAACGAAAGTTTTTTTTTACAGACTATAAATTTCAATAATGTAACGTATAACATTTTAAAAAATGTAATTCTGTAAATCATAATGTTTCATAATCTTTCTCTAAATACTAAATTGATTAGTCTAACGTTAGATATATGTCTGATGAAAATGTTGTTCATAAAAACTTTGACTATGAGGACTGAGTTTTAATTTCAAAAGTGTAACATTAATACTGTCAATCAAAACATTTTAAAACGTCTCTAATATATCAATGTAAAAGATTCGACTGATGCTTATAAGAGCAAAGACTTATGGTTTTTCATTTCAAGTTCAAAGAAAATGAGTTTATGCCAAAAACTCTAATTTTCATTTAATATATCTTTGCAACCCGTGTCGTAGACCATTAATATTGAAATATACAAGGTTTAAACCATCAGGTTGGAAAGATATAGGGATTAGTATAAGTAAATAAAAAAAAAATTAAAGTGTAAACGACTTTTGTTAGATAAGAATGTCTAAAGGAATTGAGTTGTTCACAAACTAACATTTCTAATACCGATATCTTTGCTACCCAATGTTGTAGACCTTAGATATTTTAAACTATGAATTCAGTTAGATAGAAGAAAAGGGTCAGTCTGCCTGCATTGCGTAAAAAAGAAAAAAATAACCCTAAACTAATATAAAATAATTTAGAACCACTACTCCACATGCAAAAGTGGTTTGCGTTGCCGAATTTTAACTCATTTTATGAAGTGTCCCAAAACATGACTATTTTTAGGCTCGTCAAATACACCATGATAATTTCAAGTGATCCTCTATTTAAAGAGGGCCATGCTCGATTCCCAATGATAACGTTTAAATTTTTATCTGATTAATAATTTGAAATTTAGGAGTGTTTTCCATAGGGTTGCGAATTGACAATTTAATATTGGAGATATCGCCGTAAGGCATAAAAACAATATTTCAAAAAATAAATATGATACTTCATTTTCTTGGAAATTTCATGCTGAATGCAGATTCAAAAACCATTTTTAAATATATTAAAATCTAAAGAAGTTATGGCCAAATAACGGTACTAAATTCCGGTTTTATAACTTTTTAATGTTTTTGATGAGTTTTTTAGCTGTGACTCACTCAATTTTCAATTTTTTAAAACGCTTTTCAGATTTGAATTTAGCATTGAATTTCCAAGAAAATGATGTATAATATGAAAATAAAAAATAAAATTTTTTTTGTGGCCTTACGGTGAAAACGCAGCGACTTCCGGTGGGCGGTTGGCTCTATTCCAATATTGATCACCCCTACTGGACATGCCACTCCATAAATGGAAGGTCACTTAAAATTACGTCTCTAGTTCCTTAAAGATACACTTTGAGTTGAAAGTCTAATGCTAAAAACTTTCATTTACAAATTTTTAAAATCGTTAAAAATAATAATGTTATAACATCTTTATATTGCATAATGCATATTCTTCTACACATTCTCTGAAAAGATTATCAATACAACAGCAACATACAGTTAAAAAATGTAATTATCACGAAAAAAATCTTGCAATGCTTTCATTTAGAAACAATATTATTTTAATAAAGTCTAACGTTAGAAACATTGTGGCTTGAACAACGCAACGTATAGAACATCTTTTCAAATCTTTCTTAGGAACGAAACCAATAAATAGTTTTGATTGTTAGTTGTAAAAAAGTGTAACAAAAAAGTTTTCACAATAACGTTTCGATAAATCGTAACGTAAGAAAAGGTGCATTTTAGTAAAATTTCTAGACGTAATTAAAAGAGTTTATATTGGAAAAGTTAAGATAAAACGTAACGTTAACAAAAAATATTCTTTGCACTGAATTCATTGTAACGTACAGAACTATACCCCAATGACGTTTTATTAAAGCAAAGCGTTTGTCATCTTTTAGATCTTAAACCAAGTGAAAGTGTAACGTAAGGTCTCTGTAAATATTTACCTTGCATGAAAGTGGAACGTTAAAAAATTGTGGTTTTATTACATTAGCTTTAACGCAACGTTGGGAAAGTTTTTTAAAACGGGAAATGCAAAAGCGTAATGGAGCTTACTGTTTTTTCACAAATTTTAAAATACAAATAAATATCATTAATTTTAGTTATTTTTTAGCACAAAACATTCACAATTGTGTTAAATAACTAAGGTTTTAATGTCGATCTCAAACAACCAAAATAACCAATGACGTCAAAATACTGTACTGGCGTACACAATAGTCGGATAAATTTCCACCACCTCGTCTTTATAAATAGCAAAGTCTTTGGTGAAAACAGTAAATGGCTGTTATAAAGATTTGTTTATCTATAATGTCTCTGCAAGATGAACATTGAAGACAGACAAGTTTACTCTGTTAGTTTAATGTATTTTTTTTGTTTTACTAAGTACAACCGTATGCATGGTCAATTCATAATCAAACAAATTGTAAACAGAATTCTCATGGGACATCAAGTATGAAATTGTGGAAGACGATGCCTGGTCGCGTTAAACTAGTTCCACAAGATTCAACAGAATGAGATAGAACGGATACGGGGCATTAGTACTGATAT